TTTCTCTCTAATGATCAATGGTGGTCTTCATGGGCTTTTTAAAGGGAGGAAGGGTATAAGGCAAGGAGATTTAATGTCTCCTTTGTTATTTGTTATTGTTATGGATTACTTGACTAGAATGTTGAGGAAAATTGGTAAGAAAAGTGATTTCGAGTTCTATCAGAGATGCAGCTCTTTGGCTTTGAATCATTTTATCTTTGCTGATGACCTAATGCTGTTCTCACATGGAAATAAGGATTCTATTTTTCTTTTGATCAGAGCTTTAAAGGCTTTTGAAGCTAGGTCAAGTTTGCAGGCTAATACTGATAAGACAACAGTGTACTTTGAAAGTGTCAAGAGTAGAGTGAAGGCTGAAATTCTACATATGTCTGATTTTGTGGTTGGTTCTTTGCCTTTCAAGTACTTAGGCATCCCTCTTGATGTCAGAAGTCTAAAAACTTCAGACTATGATGGGTTAATTGATAAGATGATGGCTAAGTTTCATTGCTTGAAGAGCAGACATCTCTCTTATGCTGCAAGGGTAACTTTGATCAACTCTGTCCTTATGAGCCTACATACCTATTGGGCTCAATGTTTGCTATTGCCCAAGAATGTAATGCTTAGAATTACTCAGCTTTGTAGGCCTTTCCTTTGAGATGGCAATGTTGTTCAGGGTAAGGTGCCACCTGTAGCTTGGGATTAGGTATGTTAACCAAAAAAAGCTGGTGGTTTGGGTATTAGAGACTGCATAAGTTGGAATAAGACTGTCATGGGGAGCTATGTGTGGAAGATTGCAAATAAGACAGATTATCTCTAGGTTAAATGGGTGCATTCTATTTAGATTAAGGAGCATGATCGGTGGGACCATGTTCCCAATAAACATGTTGGTTGGGGATGGAAGTTGCTCTGTAAGGTGAAAGATGAAATGAAAGCTGGATTTTTTTAGCACAATTGGTTGACTAAGAGATATAGGATTGTTGATGGGTATAAGTGGTTATAGGGTACTATGGATAAGGTGAGTTGGTGCTCTTAGATTTGGAACAGGTATAATGTTCCTAAACACTCTTCCATAGCCTGACTGTCTGATTTGGGAAGACTGAGAACCAGAGAAAAGTTGGCTAAATTTGGGGCCTGTGATGAGGATAGTTGTATGTTATGTGGGGAGCTTCCTAAAGTGAGCAACTCTTTTTTCAGTGCAAGTACAACAAGTATGGTTGATGTCTGTAACTGGATAGAGATCAAAGACAAGCAGTTTAGTATTGAGAATACTTAGAGGAAATGGAATAGGAAGGGGAAGAATCATATCCAGAAGAAGTTATTTTTGGAAACTTTGACTGCTATGGTGTACCACATCTGGTCTGCAATAAATCAAGCTTTCTGACAGAAATATGTTATAAAACCCTAGAAATTCCTTTCCTTTAAAATACCTGTTTTGCTCTTTTTAAAATACAAATAGGAAAATCTAAGACATTACCGCAACTGTGAAAACGGTTAACACAATTATCAAAGACACACAGCGGAAGACTCACTTTAAAAACCATTCAAAACCAGTCAACTCAAAAAGTCAAACCAAACGAAAGTAAAGTCAAACCAAAGTCAAATAAAGTCAACCTACAACTTAGAACCATTGTAGGTCCTTATCAAACCCAAAACAAATATTAAAACCTTTGTGTTAGTCTCACAAGCAAATATATATAATAATCAAAGCAAATAAAACACATCATATTCTTATGAAAACTAAACAGGATTCGCTCTTCACTCATGCCCATCATGAATATGCTTCATCACCCGAAAAGCTTCTCTTTACTTTGTCCCCACTACTCGCCATTAGAAATGGGTCGTCGTAGGGCCAAGATAAAGACAAGGCCAAATAAACATACAACACACAATCAGCAATGCTGAGTACATAAGCGTAAACAATGCACACTAACATGCTTTCATCCTATCAACACACAACTTACCTTATTACACCTGTTACAAGCATACAACATACCATACAACCAACCAATAAATAAATGAATTGCTTATTTATTTTGATTACGCATCGAACGGGTTTCCCACCAAATCCCTACCCTAACTAAATTGAGGTAAACTACACCGGGAGCTAACCGGGTAGGCAAATGACACATGAAAGTGACTGGACGTCCTGCGCATAAAATAAAAAGGAAAATACAACGTCCTGTATTCCTAATAGAAGCTATGGTTAAATATAAAACCCCATAACTCCCCCCATATGTTCATACTCAAGGTATATACGTTCCAATAGTTTTGGTGCGTAATCTCTTTCACTTTACGTTGATTACATATTCTTAGGCTTGATGATGATTCTCAAACCATAACACAATCAATCATAATAATCATTCAAACAATCAAACATACCAATTTAATTCTTGAAGAATTAGTGACACATTTAATTTAATGTTGAACTCTTTTTAGACTACCTCGGTGTTAAATAACACCTTAAGCGCATAAAGCACCGCAAATAATCCTATCCCTTGGTGTTTAGAACACCTTAAGTGCACTAGGCATTGCAGTATATTTTATTCCTGTGTAATAAGACACTTAATAGCTCAATTCTCATGCTTAAAGCATCAATAAAAAGTATATAAACCATCATAAAATTCCCCTTATATATTCCAAACCAAATTAAACATTTAGTTTAATTAAACATGATCTCAATCATGCCAATAATAAAAGTGTGGTTCATAATCAACATGCCAACATAATTAATTCCAATCATCAATTCACCAAAAAGAATCCATACTTCACAAATCAATCACCAACATCAATCCAATCAACAATTCCTACCAATACCTATCATGATACTACCTTGGAATTAATTAAACAAAGCCTAGCATGCTTCTACACATTTAAACAATTACCAAGTACGCGAACGTACCTCGAATATGATCTCAAAATCGCCACCACTACACAAAATCACTCACTTAGATGTCTCCTACAACCCAAATTACAAAGAGACATAAATAGCTATTCATAATAAATTTCCAGCAATATATGCACTCTTTAAATCACTTTTAAACCTTCTAAAACATGCTGAAAATTAATTTAAACCACCTACTTTTATTCCCAATTAATGGGTAATTAAAAATCTTTTCAAGAAACATAATTCTAGCCTTTATATAAAAATTCCAGCATCATAAAAACTCATAAACTTGCTGTAATTTTGTTTAAAAACATTCAATAGTTTTAATCAACTACAATCAAATTCCATCAATAAACATTAATTTAGAAACTTAGGGTTTTCAATTTGGGGCTTTTTAATTCAAAAATCAAATCTGAAAATTATATACGTATTAATCATTATTAAAACATCATAAAATCATCACACACCCCCAAAATCAATAATTAGTCAAGGTTGGATTAATTTAAAACAAACGGGAGAGAGAGATAGGGAAAGTGTTTTAAAAAACAAAACACACTATCGCACACATGGGAGGGGGCTGCTACCGCCCTCCACACTGGCGGCTGCTGCTGGCGGTGGTGGCCAGCCGGTGGGAAGTGGTGGTGGTGGCGGCGGCCGACCACCTTGGTGTGCGTATGTGTGAGTGTTTGTGAGAGAGAGGGGAAAAATTAAAGGAGAGAGAAATAGATTTTACCATTGGGTATTCTCCACCCTGGGAAAAGTTTAATTTGCTCATATGATGAGTATTTATACCCTCTCTCAAAACCCTCCTAACTTAAATTCTTTTTTTACGCTCAATGATTTTTACTCCTTTTCAAAATGACATTTGACTTTCTTTAAAACACCATTGACTTTAAAACTTTCTTTTTATAAATTAGTTATGCCCCAAAGTTTTTAAATAATAAAATAAAAATAATTCCAAAACAATTAAATATATAAAAATGGACATAAATAATTCATTTTGAATTATTTAAATACTTTATAAAATAATGTTTTAAATGAATATACGTATAAAAATACGGGGTATTACAATCTACCCCCCTTAAAAAAAAGTTTCGTCCGAAACTTGGGTAACGAAAAACAACCTTTTCCTCACTTTGTGTAATATTGCTGTACTCTTTTGACATACTTTTATCTTTAATGTCTCCTTGAAATCAAAACTACTCGAAATAACCGTTAAAAATGTGCAAAAAGCACTAATATAACTGAAATTAGAGGGAAAAAGCGCGAAAATCTAACGCATTCTACCCCCTTAAAGAAAACGATTTACATCCCCGTAACTCAACATACTTCAAACAACTCAGGGTATTTCTTTTTCATCTCATCCTCAGCTTCCCTAGTTGCTTCCTCATATTCTTGGTTAGACCATAGCACCTTAACAATCTTTAACTTCCTTGTTGCGTGTACTACACACTTTATTGTCAAGGATTTTGACAGGTCTTTCCTCATAAGTTAAGCTTTGATCTAACTCAATTGTTTCAAGTTGTAGCACATGTGACTTATCAGGTATATACCTTCTTAACTGAGACACATAAAATACATCATGCACCTTACTTAGCTCCATAGGTAAGGCCAACCTATAAGCTACTTTGTCTATCCTTTGCACTATCTCATATGGACTAATATACTTTGGGCTAAGTTTCCTTTTCTTTCCAAATCTCATACCACCCTTCATTGGTGATACTTTCAACAACACTTTGTCACCAACTTCAAACTCTTCTTCCCTACGCTTCAGATCTGCATAACTCTTTTGACGATCTTGTGCTGCTTGAATCTTAGCTTGAATCTCTTTTACCAGCTTAACTATATCTTCAATCATTTGAGGCCCTAAGATTATTGTTTCACTTATGTCGTTCTAACATATAGGACTGCGACACTTCCTTTCATATAATGCCTCAAATGGAGCCATACCAATGCTCGCATGATAACTATTGTTACAAGAAAATTCAATTAAGTCCAAGATATCTTCCCATCCCCCTTGGAAGTCTATGACACAAGCTCTCAACATATCTTCCAAGGTTTGAATAGTTTTTTCAATTTGTCCATCTGTGGCAGGGTGAAATGTTGTACTCATCTTTAGTGTTATACCAAAGTTTTCCTACACATTCTTCCAGAACTTTGAAAGAAACCTATAATCTCTATCAGACGCAATATCTTTTAGAATTCCATGTAACCTCACAACTTTCTTGATGTAAGCTTTTGCAAGTTGCTCCATCTTCCAGGTCTTCTTCATTGGTATGAGCACTGCAGATTTGGTAAGTCAATCCACCACGACCCAAATGGTATCATTTCCACTCTTTGACTTTGGAAGGCAAGTCACAAAATCCATCAAAATACAATCCCATTTCCATCCAGGGATTTCCAATGATTGCACGGTTCCTTACGGTCTCTTGTGCTCTATTTTTACCTTTTGACAAGTTAGATACTTCGCTACAAATTCTGCAACTTCATTCTTCATTCTAGGCCACCAATACATCTTTTTCAAGTCTTTGTATAGTTTATCCCCTCCAAGGAGTACTAAGTATGGTGTATTGTGTCCTTCATCCATCAATTTTCTCTTTACTTCCTCACATTTTTGTGTTACACACCATCTACCTTTATACCTTAGACTCCCATCTTCATGAATTTTGAAATCTGTAACCTTTCCTTGCTTTATTTTCTCACGAATCCTATCCATATTTACATCTCCTACCTGATTTTCCTTATTCTCATCAAATATTGTTGGTTGAATGCTTAGATTCGCAAGTATACCTGTTGGTACTCCCCATTCTACCACTTCTAGGTTCATTTTTCTCATTTCCCTACACAATTCATCAGCCACTACCAAAGTGTTCAGTCCATGACTAGTTTTACGACTTAGAGCGTCTACCACTACATTTGCTTTCCCTTCGTGGTATTGTATGTCCAAGTTGTAGTCCGTTGCAAATTCTAACCATCTCCTTTGGCGCAAGTTCAGATCTCTTTAGGTGAAAATGTACTTCAAACTTTTATGGTCAGTATATATTCTACATTTCACCCCATACAAGTAATGCCTCCAAATCTTTAGTGCAAAAATGATTGCTGCTAATTCTAAATCATGAGTAGGATAGTTTACTTCATAAGGTTTTAACTGTCTTGATGCATATGCAATCATCTTTCCATTTTGCATAAGCACACATCCCAGACCATTCTTGGATGCATCACTATATACACATCATAGATCCCTCTGTCATCTGGCAATGTTAGCACTGGTGCTGTAATCAACCTTTGCTTCAAAAGTTAAAACGCTTCCTCACACTTCTCGTCCCACTCGAACTTCTTGTCCTTCTTCATTAGAGAGGTCATAGGCTTAGCAATTTTAGAAAAGTCCTTCACAAAATGCTTATAATACCCTACTAAACCTAAGAAACTCCTAATTTCAGACACCATCTTTGGCGTAGGCCATCCTTTCACTGTCTTTGCAGGATCTACTTCTACCCCATCCTTTGACACAAAGTGACCCAGAAATGCTACTTTCTCCAACCAAAACTCACACTTGGAAAACTTTGCATAGAGCTTATTCTCCCTTAAAGTTTGTAAAACTGTCCTCAAATGTTCCACATGTTCCTCCTTATTCTTCGAATACACCAGTATATCATCTTGAACACTACGACAAACTTGTCCATAAATGGATGAAACACCCTATTCATCAAGTCCATAAAGATTGCTGGAGCATTCGTCAATCCAAATGGCATTACTGTGAAATCATAATGCCCATACCTTGTTCTAAATGCAGTCTTAGGAATATCTTCGTCTGCAATCCTTAACTGATGGTATCCTGACCTTAGATCAATCTTGGAAAACACAGATGTGCCCCTCAATTGGTCAAATAGGTCATCAATCCTTGGTAATGGGTATTTGTTCTTTATAGTGACCTTGTTCAACTCCCTGTAGTCAATACATAACCTCATACTTCCATCCTTTTCCTTAACGAACAACATTAGAGCTCTCCAAGGCGATGCACTTAGTCTATGTACCCTTTTTCTAGTAAGTCCTGTAGTTGCTCCTTTAACTCACTCATTTCTGCAGGTGCCATTCAATATGGTGCCTTGGAAATTAATGTTATCCCTAGTTACAACTCTATTGTGAAATCAATTTCCCTCTTAGGCGGCATTCCTAGAATCTCTTCTAGGAACACATCCAGAAACTCATTTACCACGTCTATGTTTTCAGGCTTAATTATCTCTTCATGTTCCAAGTTCCTTACACTACAAAAATATACTGGATGTTCCTTCTTAATATACTTAGCCAACTTCATCATTGAGATGATCCTTGGGACCTTTGCTTCACCATGCTTCCAATGTGTTACCAACTCACCCGCAACTGTACTTAACTGCACTTTCTAGGATCGACAACGAATCTCCACACTATACTTGCTCAACCAATTCATTCCCAAGATGATATCAAAGTCACTCAACCCAAATTCAATGAGGTCAGACAAAAATACTTTTCCTTTTATCTCTAATGGCATATCCTTAAAAGTTTTGGTACACTGTACTACCCCTCCCGTAGGAATAACTATAGGTACATCCATGACATCTACGGTTTTCATACAGTGCGATAGCTTTGAAACAATGGCTTTTGAAATGAAAGAAAAAGTTGCACCAGAATCAAACAAAACTGTAACAGGAATAGAGTTAATAGAAAAAGTACTAGTTATAACATCCTTCGTAGTATCAGCTTCATGCCTACTTATCACATCAGCTTTCTTGGAGCTCCACTCTTCACCTAATTATTTCCATTATTGTTGCCTTTCACCCCATTTTGTTGTGCCCCTTTGTTCCCTGCATAGTTGTTGTTTCCCTGAAAGTTCCTTTGTGCCCCTCCTTGATTATTGCCCTGCTTGTTGCGATCTGAATCTTTGGAGAATCACTCGTACTCCCTATGTCCCAACTTGTTGCAAGCGCGACAAGTAACCAAGTTACCCTCACAGTCTTACCAGGGTGATCATTCTTACACCTCTTGCAGTAAAAATACCTTGGACCCTTGTTATTTCCCTGGTTGGAGTTCTTAGGCCCTCCATTGAAATTCCGTCCACCCTGAAGATTGTTATTGTGGAAGTTATTGTTATTGTTGCTGTTGAAGTTGTTATTGTTGTGGTGGTATTTCTGCTTCTTGAAGTTGTTCTGGTTACCTTGAGGGTTTCTAGAGTTCTGTCCCATCTCTTTTCTCTTTTCCTTCCCTTCCACCTCATCTAATTCCTTCTTTTTCTTTAACTCCAACGCATAAAAGTGTGCAGACCTCCCATAAACTTCATCCAATGTTTCGAACACTTGTCCACACAACTTTAATTGAAGATCAGTGGTCAATCCACTCTCAAACTTCTTATCTTTTGCCTTTTCTATAGAAACAAACTCTTTGGCAAACCTTGACAGCTCAATAAACTTGGTATAATACTCAGTGACTGACATATCTCCCATTGCTAGGTTAGAAAATTCCCCAGCTTTCTGTTTCTGTAGGAAAATGGGATAAAATTTGTCCCTAACCTTTTCTTGAAACATAGTCCAATTGAAACCAGGCAGTGCTTTGATGGTAGTCTCATTTTGTTGCCACCAAAGGTCAGTTTCACCCCTGAGGTAATATGTAGCATAGCCCACCTTCAAATTTTCTGGGCACCCTACTGCCCCAAACAATTTCTCAAATTCCCTTAACCAGTTTTCTAACACTGTTGGGTCTGGTTCGCCTTGATAGGTTGGTGGCTTAATTTGCGCCACCTTCTTAAACAGTCCCCCCCGAGCATCCCCATTGTTGGTCGAGTTTCTTACCAACTATTGAGCGACCATTTCCTACTGCCTTACAACTTCACTCAATTCATTCCCTTCACTATTGTTCCCACTTCCTCCTGCCATTTTTCTTCTTCTGAATTAGAACAAAAGGGGGACTTTATTAATTATGGTCATGGTTAGATCTTAGGTCAGACACCCATCTAACTAACTTATACACACACATTTAATTTAAGCTAACAAATTGAGGTTGCAAAATTACAACTCCCAAATCTTGCAGCTTGTTCAACCAAATTTTGATTGCTAACTAACCATACATTTAATAAAGAATCACAATAATAAATAAAAATAATTCCCATGGTTCCCTAGAGTTTAGAAATGAATTATTGGAATATTTGAGTAAGAAATGGCTCATTGGAGTAGTGACATGAAATGAATGATTTAAGAATAAAATGAATTATTTGGCTGTAAAATGAATTATTTGGCAAGGAAATGATTAAAATTTTATTGTTGAGAAAGAAAATGACTGGAAAAATAAAATGAAATGAGTTCGAATAACCTACGTAACTCAATAGGTTTATTGACTCATTGTGATCATGCCACTTATTACTTTACTGAAAAAGGAAATTATAAAAACTGCGGAAATGAAATTAAGAATCCTAAAATAAATGAAACTACACAAATCTAGTCATTTCGAACGTTGTCCTTCTTGTCCTTTGATTGTTTGTAGTTTCCAGGATCGAATTCAGGGTCATCTTCCTCCTCCATTAGTTTAGGTGTCTTTGGATTTTGCTCTACTTGAATAAACTCTTCATCTTCCTCATCGTCAGATGAAATGTCAATTATAATTGGAGTTGGGGGTGGATTTGGATTCGGAATCTCCATATAATGGAACTATCAACAGTATGATTACTCTCATCCATTAGCTCTCCTTCCTCTTGCCCTCCATTCGCCCCTGCTTGATTACCCTATGGTGGGGAAGAATTTCCTGATTGATTGCTAGTGGAAGGGGAATTATTCCCTGCTGGGTTATCATAGAAGTAATTTGGATATAGAATATGTAAACGCTCACAGTGATACTTCTCTACTCGAACAAGATAAGAAATCAAGTATCTGTAGTCAGGGTACCACTGTCCATAATAATCTTTGTACTTGGAATAGTTGGGAATGTCCCCAGGCAAGTAGAAATCAGCAAATTTTGCTTTGACAGCAAGATATGGCGATTCGTCAGGAAGACAGTGAATTATCATAGCTGAAACACAATCAGGCAGGTTATACTGCTTGTCCCCTAGGACATCGCTCATGTGTGAACAATAGAAATGAATTTTCTTGACATAGTCAAAGGGATGTTCATAGTCTTTCTTAATTAGGGTACCAATTTGTGAGTATTTGCTAGGAAAGATCGACATCCTGTAAGGGAAAAGACTTAGAAAAGAATTCCCTTCCCCACAAAAAAATAAAATAACACAGTTCTTGCATGGAGGTTCAATGTTCAATAAAACAATCTTCTTATTTCTAATCACATAATTACATGCTTCCAATTAATCAATTCACATGATCAAACATCACAACCTAAGTATTAATGCATACAAGAACATGGATACTTCTAACTTATATGCCCCAAATTCTTTCCTACCCAAGCTCACAAACATGCTTTTAAAGCTCTAAACACATAATTCTTACCTTAATCCTTCGCCTTCCTGCAAAATTAATAAACTAAAAATATTTTTGACTCCCTTTTTGAAAAAAATTCGAAAATTAATTCCGAAAAGGCTAAAATTTTCGGCCATAATTAAAAAAAAATTCGGACACCCCAAGCAACAAAGGTGAGCTGTTTTTTCCCTAGGGTCCTTTGCTTGTCATCTTTTACTACTCTAGTCTACTTGTTTTGCAAGGCATTCTTTAATCTATTCCAACTTCGAAGTGTAGAACAATTGAGAGATTTCTGTGTCAAATAAAACCCAAAATCAATTCCCCTTCATTTTCACCTTCTTCTCCACCGCTAAGTCGCTAACTGTAATCCCCCAATATATAAAGAACCCCCAAA